ATACAAAAAATCTTGTTAATGCATTATCACACAACTTTGATTGTCCTTGGCTTATGTTATATTTTTGAAATTGACTGGTTATTCTTGGTTGTAGACCACTAGCAATTTCTAAATCTAATACTCTTTTAGAAGAATTAATTTTTTTACTTTGTTCATTAACTTCATCATTTGAACTTGCAATTATTTGTAAAAATTTTTGTTGTATGAAAGCTGGAACCTGAATACATTGTAATGCAAGATGGGCTATCATAGCTGATGGTCTTCCAGATTTTTTTGTGCCTTCACAATACTTGCATATACTACCATTTTGTTGGATTCAGCTTGAGTACAATTATTTTCATTAATTTGAATTATTTCATAATCAATTTCAGTATTATCATTACTGTTATTATTATCAGGTGATGAAAAGCAATTGTTCAACTCTTGTTCAGTTATTTGAGTAACAAGTTGTAAAAAAATTTATTGAAAATATTGAATTTTTGCTCCTATTTTTAATTGTTAATTTTTTCTAATTCAAATTCTTCAATTCTAATTATTAGAAAACTTCAAATATAATGGGAAATTTGATGTAAATTATTATTACTATCACTAATAATAAACACAGATTTTTTTAAAAAATTAAAACAAATCCTATTATAATTTTTTACTATTTATTATATTTATTTATTATTATTATTCTTATTATTATATATTTACTACCACTATTACTAATTATTGATCAAAAAATTCACTGCCATAATTAATCATTAAAAATTAAATAGGATGTAAAATTTTTTTCATTGATATATTGGAAAAAATAATAATTAAAATAAACCTTAATTTTTGTTTTGGTTAAATTTGTGTCATATATTAATTGGTATTAGTATATAAAGAGAGTAGCCAAAATTATTTATGGCAGCAATTACTATTACGGAATTACGTTAGCCAAAATTATTTATGATAGCCAAAATTATTTACAGCAGCTAAAATTATTTATGGTAGCCGAAATTATTTATGGCAGCCAAATTATTTACAGAGTTGAAATTATTTACAGAGCTGAAATTATTTACAGAGCCGAAATTATTTACAGAGACTGAAATTATTTATGGAATTATGGGTTTTAAACTTTCTTGTCATAATTAATTACGGATTTTTAGAACCATAATCCCATAATTATTACAGAATTATGGTGCCAACTATATATACAAGCAGATTATAATGAATTAAAAGCTTTAAAATCATTTGAAAAAAATAAAATAAAATCATGTAGTATTCAAAATTCAACACAAACAGACATTACTAGTTTTTTAATTTTTTGAAAATTTTACTACATTATATCAAGTATTGTATTAAGTATTAAACAAAAAAATTTTATTAAAATTTTCCTGTTGATCATTATCTTGTTTCAACAGATTTAGGTGGTCAGTCCCATAGATCCATTGAAACAAGGTTTGACTGTAATGCCTTATTTCTATCTGTAAATTCTATTAAAGCTAATACTAAGCATATAAATTACATTAGAAACATGAAAAACTTTTTATTTTTAAAAATTAAAGAACAGTTTTATCAATCAATGTAACAAAAATTTGAAATAAATTTTTTGTGTTCATTTATAATATCCATCATCTAGCAAAGAGGTTTTAATCTCTTTTATAAAGTATGCAAAAATGTTACAGCAAAGAAAATATAAAGTTGTATGTTTTTAATTAGACAAAAAACATTTAACCACTTCCTTCTGTGCTTTTAGTTGTTTCTTGTGATTCCCTGTAAAAAAAAAAAGGCAGACATTATAGAAACACTTATGCAACATAACAGCAATAAAATAAAGAGAATTGAATAATGAATGCCACTTACAGACAAATTTTTTTATTGCTACCCAGACCACTAACTTGCATTTGCAGGATAGAGGAAATAACTTCTCAGAACATAATGACATTGCTGATGACATTCTGACATTTGGTTTAATTTTTAAAAGACAAAAGGAGTAAATATATTAAATGGTAAAATTATTTTTTATCAAATAATACATACAATGAATGTGTCACCAATCAATTTTTGGGAGAGCATATTTTAATTGATGATAACAAATTTTTAATAGTTTATGTGGATCAGAATGAAAAGGCTAATACTAACGAATTAGATTTATTAGCGAATAATTTTGTTTTAGTGATTTGATAAAAATGATTTATTTAATTTTGTATTTAGTCGAAACTAATTATTAACTTATTATTAAGTTAATTTGTTACAAAGTTATTTTTCAATTACAGCGAATTCTCATTCCTTATATACATGTTTGATTATATGTATCCTAGTTTAGGATAATTAGCCTAGATTAAGATATTTATCCTAATTCAAGATAATTCTCCTAAGTTAGGATAATTCTCTCTTTCCAGGATAATTATCCTTCTTTGTACACAGGATAATTCTCCTAATCTAAGATATATATCCTGATTCAGGATAATCTTCATTAATTTCTTCTAAATAAAGGTCTAATGCGAACGTGTTACTAATTAATTACTTCTGCGGAATGTAACACGAACTCATATAATTAAATTAAATCATTCGGGAATTATTACAAATAAAAATATAATAAAATAAAATTAAAAATAAATAATAGATAAAATAAATAACTAAAAATAAATAATGAATAACTAAAAATAATAAATAAATAAATAAATGATATAAATAATATAAGAATAAGATATAAAATATTACTCCGGATTTTCAGGGTTATTGATCAGTGAATTAAGATCCAATTCACATTCCGGTGACACATGCTATAAACATGTAGGCAAATATCAAAGTAGAGAGAATTATCGCAGAAAAAAACAGGATGAATTACATGCAAAAATTGCTATGTTTGAGAATCTACCTGACTTATCTAATTCTGGGTATGAATAGACAGTTATAAAATTAGGGGGAAATATCTTGATATATAAGGAATAACTCACCTTACTATAGGCCATTTTTTCTCTGGCTTCGAGCATATATGCGAGAAGGCAGGAATGTGGCAAGCTAACATATTCTACATATGGTGCATGCTGTAATCATGCAAGTAAGTATCGAAAAAGAGAATATTATCATCAAAAAAAGCAGGCTGAATTACATGCAAAAATTGTTATGCTTGAGAATCATATACCTGACTTACCCAATTCTAGGCATGAACTATAATCATATGCTTGGCATATACCGATTGTTTTTTCCAGGACCTCTTTAAGTAATGCTATATCCTCTTTGATACATTCTATATTTTTGGTTATCTTATTACGTAGGCTCGAAGAGCCATTGCTCCGCAATAAAGCTATGGATTCTAAAACCTTTGATCTGTTCAGTGTCTTACCCGTATCCATTTTCTGATAGAATTACAATAACCGCAACCCATTCAATTTTTGGGTATATTTATACTGACCCAGGATAATTAATTTCAATTTGAAAAAATATTTTCTATAGTTATAATCCACACAACTATCTCATAAACACCATGTCAAGAATTGCAACAAGATATATAGATTATCATAATTTAACCCCCAAAATGAGCATAGCCAAACTTAGCCATTATGCTGAAGAATTGGTTAAAATTTTAAAAGATGCGAAGGCCCGTGATCATGCAAGAAATTGGATCCAGAAATTGGGATTTAGTAAAGATCAAACATATGCTTTAATTCCTAATCAAACATCTGGAAGACATGTTACAGGTAGAGATCTGGTTAAGAAACTTGCTTTGTATATTAAGGAGAATGAGACCAATCTCGAACCTGAACAGATAAACGAATTGGCCTATAATTTAGCAAAAACAGGCCCTACTGATATAGCCCAATCTTCACTTCTTAAATTGCTCCGAAAAGAATTACGCCAACTCAATGCCAATTACATTGCATTAGAAGCTATATATGTCCCAGACATTACTCGTGCATCAAATAAAGAACAGGAGAGAAGACAAGAGCATTGTGAAGATGAAGGATACGATTGTCCTGAATTCTTTACTCTAGAAGTTTTTCTATCATCCGCACTACCGTAAAAGGAGTACCCAGTGCAATACTTTGTTGTTTACGATTTACCTGAACAATAACAGGCCTGCCCATTAAATAATCATATTTATTTATTTATTGTAAGTCGTACTATAAAGTGTGCTTACAGATCGCCGAAGTTTTCTAGGTACAAGAAAAAGACAGCAAGCAGAAAGATTGTTAAATGTTTGCGTAAAATAAATTAACCGACGAGTATTGAATTGAATATAAAAGCTCGCAATTAACTGACAAGTGTAGCTAAAAAGTTAATTCGAATTCAGCTATAAACGTAAAAGAATCAACGTTGACCAAAAGCTACCTCGCCATCATTAATTTTTAGGAAAGAATTTACAGCTTTTTTATATGTTCCCTTTCATACCAGTCAATTTATAGTTGTCAAAAATTTTAGAATGTTAAAATGATGTAATTATGCGTGTGTTACATTCGTTTTTTGTGTAAACTTTTTTAAACTTTATCATTATATTATCAACAATTCTTAAAAAATGGATTCAACAATCTTGGAAAGTTATTTTAATGAAAATGAAAGGTTGCTAAACACAGAAGATTTATATGATGTAAAAATTTATGTTGGTGTAGAACCAAATATTAAAGAAGTTCATGCACATTCATCAATTATATGTGCTCATTGCCCTTTTTTTCAAAATGCATTAATTAATGCAAAAAAAGAAAATGGTTACTATATTATTGAGAAGGCCAACCTTAATGAAATGGTCTTTAAAACAATACTTAAGTAAGTTTATTATTTATTATTTATATTAGTTTTTTTATTTATCACCTGTATAGTAATGATGATGATGATGATATTTTACATTTAAAAGATTCTTATATACTTGTAGAATTGAATTAGATGAGTTTAGTGGAGAAGATATATTACAATTATTGATTGCTGCAGATGAGCTTGGCCTTGAGTTATTTTGCAAATTCACAATGAATTACTTTATCAAAAAACATGAAGTTTACGTTAGAGAAAATCCAATTAAAATCCTAAGATCAATCTACTCTAATGAGGAAAAATTTAAGGAACTGAAAAATACTTGTCTAGAAAAAGTTTGTGATCATAGTGATGGCTTATTTGAGTCAAGTGAATTTGAATTATTGGAAAGACCAATTTTAATAACTATACTTGAAAGAGATGATTTTTATGTTGAGGAAATAATTATTTGGGAAAATATTCTTAAATGGGGACTAGCAAAGCATCCAGAAATTAATAATGTTAATTATATTAAAGTCTGGACAAAAAAAAATTTTATTGATTTAAGAAACACTCTGAAAGAATTAATTTCTTTAATTCGATTCCAGGATATTTCTGGTGTAGATTTTCGTTGCAAAATCCATCCTTTTAAGAAACTTTTTCCTAAAAATTTATGGGAAGTTCTTTTGGATTATTATTTTGGTTCTGACAAACAGCAAACTTTAAATTTATTACCATCAAGAATAAAAGTTGGAAATATTGAATCATTAACAATCAATAAAAACCTTACATTGCTTTTTGCAAGCTGGATTGATAAAAAAAATCCAACATACACTTCATTCAGAGAAATTAAATATGAATTCAAACTTCTATATCAAAGTAGTAGAGATGGCTTAAATGATACTATATTTTATCAAAAATGTGATAACTTTAACAAAACTCTTGTGGTTGCCAAAATACAAAATTCCGAACAATTAGTTGGAGGCTACAATTGGAATGAGGGTTTTATATTTAATATAGTTGATAGAAATGATATTAATACTGCTCAATTTAGTTATGCTGCTGCTATTAATGATGATTTTTGTGCACATGATATGGATTTTCCTACTTGTTTATTTGGTCTTGGTTATCAAGATATTTGTTTTTGTTCAATGGTAAAATTTATAGTTATCCAACAATATATAATGACATCAATATAGTAAATGAAAGTGAGTATGATGAATTAGAGGTTTTCCAAGTAATTGATAAAAATTAAAGATTATTTTTATGTATTTTTTATCAAAGTTGTTTATAATAACTAAAAAAAATTTCAAAAATGTCAACCAATTTTATATAGTTTATAACTTTAGTATATATATTGGTTAAAATCAGAATTGAATAGAATAGAATCAAAGCATGACTTATTTGTATTCAATTTGTATTTGATTCAAATGAAGCTAATCAAAAATTAGAATCAGTCAGAATTTTGTTGATTCATTCAGAGTCCTAATTTAACAGAGATTGTCCATGTGTAAGATGTATAGAAAACAATAAATGAGCCTTAATATTGTCACCAATTATTTTTGGGAGAGCGTATTTTAATTGATGATAACAAATTTTTATTTTATGTGGATCAGAATGAATAGGCTAATACTAACGAATTAGATTTATTAGCGAATAATTTTGTTTTAGTGATTTGATAAAAATGATTTATTTAATTTTGTATTTAGTCGAAACTAATTATTAACTTATTATTAAGTTAATTTGTTACAAAGTTATTTTTCAATTACAGCGAATTCTCATTCCTTATATACATGTTTGATTATATGTATCCTAGTTTAGGATAATTAGCCTAGATTAAGATATTTATCCTAATTCAAGATAATTCTCCTAAGTTAGGATAATTCTCTCTTTCCAGGATAATTATCCTTCTTTGTACACAGGATAATTCTCCTAATCTAAGATATATATCCTGATTCAGGATAATCTTCATTAATTTCTTCTAAATAAAGGTCTAATGCGAACGTGTTACTAATTAATTACTTCTGCGGAATGTAACACGAACTCATATAATTAAATTAAATCATTCGGGAATTATTACAAATAAAAATATAATAAAATAAAATTAAAAATAAATAATAGATAAAATAAATAACTAAAAATAAATAATGAATAACTAAAAATAATAAATAAATAA